TGTAACGTGTCTTGAGTTCGAAGCTCTTTGGTCACGTGTGTAAGTCCAAATCCCACTTCTGACACCAGTGTAACGTGTTGTGTTACTGAATGCGCTGTAGAGATCATTATTTGGTTTATTGAAAAATCTACAAATAACGGCTACAATTAATTATAACACAGTTGCGGGGTTTCACACTTTATAACCCTAATCACAATAATCTGTTACCACTGTTGCGGGGTTTCACACTTTATAACCCTATGCGCAAATCAGTTCACTCAGTCTTCAGTAGTCTACACGTTTACAGTAGGGGAGCTATGTATCACTGTATCACACACTCCCAATATCACAATCACACACACGTCCGGTTCTTCTTTCCGCGACGGCTGCTATATTCCAACTTGTAGTCGGCTGACTGGAAAACTGTTGATAACACACTCGGCGACTGTCGCATTACAACTCCTGGTAGCTGCTGTGCAGCTCACTTATATAGCTGCAGTGCTTACTTGTTGCGTAATGAGTGCCACGTCGTCCTGTTACGTCACCGCTGTTGACTCGCGTTGCATAGCTACCAGGTTGCGAGGGCTCGGCTATCTTCGGCTCCGCTCGGCTCACTTTGGCTCCGCTCGTGATGTCACCGCGGGGAGAGTGGCGGGGTGATGACTCGCCTATTATGTGAGCGCTACGTTACCGCCACGTGCCGCTGGGGAGGTAGGGGTCCTTCGTTGCGCAACATGTCACAATATGTTTCTATAATTCAACACTGATAGTCCTATTTATTTTGGGGATCAATTGAAGTCCTTAAAATTCAGCCTTTTATTTCTGGTAGTTCACAGATATTGAAAAATTATCTCTTCATAATATTCAGTTAGGGGCAATTAGAAGCATATTAAAATATTTAAAACTATGAATAATCTATATGAAATTACATCAGGTGTATAATATAAAGCCTAGAATGCTCAGTGTGCTGTTTGAAATATATATAGTTTAAGTTGTAATCATGTTTATATTACAGTTTCTACATAAAGAAATAGTAGGACAGTCTAATTTTAATACCACATCTTGAGTTTTGATAAAGGTCATATTGCTTACCTATATGTAATGAGGCCCCAGTTTTCCATTGCTCCAGCAGCAAAATCAGGCACGGCTACTTGGTCGATTTTGGGAAACTTGTATTCTATACCTGTGTAATTTTCATAGAAGTTCACGAGTGGAGGCCCAATTGTTTGACTGTATTCGGCATTCTCGATAGCATTTGGACGAGCCCATGCAGAGAAACTGTACGGGGCATTACTTTTCAGACTTTCAAAATCTGACACTATAAATGCCACCAAGTATGTTGACATCAGTTCTGTTTCTGCAAATTCATATTTTCTCCAACCAGATTCACTGAAATATTTATATATCATATTAAAATGTGTTAGAATTGAGTATTCATATATTTCTATGACTAGAAAAGGTTGATTGTAGCAAGCATTGTTATTTTAAAATAAAATTTATATTTTTAATATATATATATATATATATAGGAATTAGGTTAACCGTCAACACAACAAATATACTCACTTTTAATGTTTTACAATTTGGCTTTTATTCCTGCTACATGTTTCGGTCAAATAAGACCATCATCAGGCAGTTATATATAGGAATATGTAAAGTTATTGAACTACTGATATGGATCCATACCAGCGCAACATGTAGTATTATATACTAACATGAAATTTTTTGCCTCAAGTTGGTGTTATAATTAAAGTAGAAGATACAAAATAATATAAAAGATAAAATATAAAACATATACCATATATCAAGCTTTATAAAGTGTTTTATATATTATGGAATTTGATTTGTTTCATTCTGGTCCATCACACTAACAATTACAAAGACAAAACAACTCCATCCAGTGTGACACTGGACAGAGTTGTTTTGTCTTTGTAATATTATGGAATATTAAGGAATATTAAAAATGTTAAAAATATTTTTAAATGTTTAAAAAAATATATTTAAAAAAATTTAATATGGAAAGTTAAAAATATGTATGCCAACTTAATACTAAGGTTCCAATATTTATATTTTTAAATTATAGGAGATGAAGAAATATTATTTTAGACTGATATTTGTGTGTAAACCTGAACATGTTATTTCCAGTAAGTAAACACAAAACCCAAAGGACCACAGTACAATTTTATGAGCATTAGTATTCATCACATCCATTAATTCAAAGCTTGCAAATGCGGGTTCAATTTACGATTTCAGTATGGTACAAACCATTTTTGAACACTGCCTGAAGAGGCCATAAGATTGTTTTCAGGCCTAAAATCCTGAATTAAATGGAGACATACATCACAGTATTTACATAATATGGACCATTATTTATGTTATTGCAAATTTGAAATAACACAGGATATTGGTGTAGTTGTAATTAACTCTTCACAACATGACATAAGAATACTCAGGTTCTAATTAATCTTCCTTATGGTCTGATAAGATATTTGGTGTATAGTGACTGAGGAAGAATTTAATTTTTCTGATTCTTGTAATTCTCTTTTTATTATTTTATTCACTTTATGCAATAGGCAAGTGACCGTTGGATAAAGTGATCTGATAATTAAGTTAGAAACTGGTAATATTTATAAGATTCAAAATTATGAACATGGTAATGTATACTTCTTGTTAGAAATTATGAACTGGTGTTAGAAATTATGAACTGGTGTACATACTCAGGCTCCGATGCCGCAGGTGTAGGCATGTTGCTTAGAGAGTGATAATCTGGTGGAGTGTCTATCGTGATCTTGAATTTAGCTTTGAATTCGGGCTCGTCGAAGCAAGGGAAAGCGCTTCTTGCGTGTGTGGACTCAAACTGAGTTGCTGCAAGCCATCTGAAAACACAAGTAAAGTTTTAACAATATCTGTTCTTGTTATATAGTTGTACTGTTTTATGATACCCATTTGACTTAGCAACATTATCATGCCCATTTTGTACAGTTATAGTCACTTTATTGTTAAGATACTGTTCATGTCCAGTTGATTCTTAGGCATTCTTTACGAAGTAGAAAAGAATGAAGAGTAATAGCTTCAGGAATGTGACACCATGTAGTCTGGTAGAAGTTCACCAACTTGCAAATACAGCTGTTCTCAGGGTTAGCACTAGTTACTGTTCTCCTTGCTCCAGTTGGGTCCCTTGGGGCTGCTTTTCAGGCCTCTAACTGAACCAGATTTTCCTCTCTTATGTTTTGTTCTGCTTTCTTGGGTTACTCTTCACCTGTGAATATGGAGGCATATGTTCTTTTGAAACATCAGTGAATTTCTGACTACATGGCATCATATCCCAGAAGACAGTACTCTTTCATAGTCACTGCTGTGAGTACCTCAAATCCAACACTTCAGTGAATTTGCTAGGTAAGACAGAAACATTCATAAACATTCTGCACAGCAACGTTTTGTGTCTGGGAAACATTAAAATGCCGAAATTGATTGTGATTTGTTCACACAGAGGACAGGAATGCTCCACATTTCTCGTATTCTGATTGAAGAAATATCTTCAATTCATTGAAGTCACATAAGCCTAGAAATTATCCAGTTTTTTATGTGTGTGGTTTATTGTATGATACTATCTAGTCTATATAGTGTTGACTAGTAGGATGACTGATGAATTGGAAAAGATTTGGAAGGTAGCAGTCATGACCTAATTGAGTTACTGTCCCAACATTTGCCAGAAGGTACTGAAGAAAATGTCATAGTAGTGAAGACAGCATTTGTTCCAAATGAGACTTGAACTGCATGGAAGTGTAGGCCATTAATGCGACACCGTGTCACTAAGTAGAGATGATCCATAGTGTTGGAGTAATGTGTATTCATTTTATATTAGTTGTGCTACACTGAACTGTTTCTAGTGACATGTAAAGAAGGTAAAGCTATCCCTCTAACAGGCCATGGAGGCCCATAGGGTTGTGAGATGTCAAGGCTCCCACATTTTCTAGACAGTCGGCTCACAGATGGCGGCCGCCCTTTACTCCCTCCCCAGGAAGATTCCTGGTATTCATTTCTGTTAGAGGCTGAGCCAACCTTAGGGCCATAATGCGGCTGGAAGGGTTAGTCAATTGGAAATCAAACCCGAAACCTTCTGGCTTGTAGCATTGTGCCTCAGCCAACTATGCAGATGCATCCCCCCCCTAGTGACATGTTGCAGTCCTAATTGAACTAGTGTAGAAAAAATTTGGTATACATAAAAACATAGATCATTACCTTATTTCGTTTCCAATGGTATATGAGCTCCGGTAGAATCCGTTCATATCTTCAGAAAGAATTCCTGTGAAAGCTATATTTATGGTGTATTCAGTGCCTTTTAAAAACTTTGATTCACTGCTTATGACTAGGAAATGCTTTTCACTGTCAATATTTGCTTCGCTTGTGCTCAGTATAACTTCATTGTTATTTGTAACTGTGATGTTGCTTATGGTTTGTCTGTTACTATGTAGGGTAATAGTATCTGTGTCTTCAAATACTTGTACTCTGATTTTCACATCACCTTCAAACGTGAAAGATTCAAAATCAGGTTTGAGATAGACTTCGTATGAAATGGGTCCAGCAGTTTTTGGTAAGCGGTAACTGTTGTCTGAAGCTTTAACCTGCGTAGCTTGAAGTCTGCCTTCTGGCATCATAGCTGTTACTCTTGGCATCATGTACAGTAGTAAAACAATCATATATGTAATGGTTGCCATGACTGTAACAAAAATATGTATGGTATTTGATTAAGGTCCTTGTAGGTAGGATTTGATGTTATCACACGGGTGGTTATGAGAGTTCTATTTTCTGGAATATAATGCTATGTACACCATTGAGAGTCAACTGACATTTCGGAGGAATATGTCACCTCCATCATGGTTTAAGAAAAGGTCAGGCAAGAAGCCAGCATGAAAGCAGGCGGCATTGTTCCTCTGAAACATTGGTTGACTTCCAGCGGACTACACTGCATTATATCCCAGAAGATGAAACATTTCATGGACCTTGCACTTCATTAAGTTGTGTGTATACATATTCAGCACTATGTGAATTTGGGGAGGCTGCTGAAATATCTATTGGTATAATAACTAGGCCACAGGCTGAATGATTGAAGAATCAGGGTTTAATTCTTGGTAGGGACAGCAGATTATTCGCTTTTCAACAGTATCCAGACTGACTCTGGACCCTACCCATCCCCCAACCTGATGAGTAAGGGGGGCATTCTTTCTCTAGGTTAAAGTGGGTATGTGATGAACAGGGCCCAGATTTTGATGAAAATATTTAAAAAATGACCGAACAAATCCAGAAAAATGACCTAAAATATGAACCAAAAATGTAATATGCAGGGCCCGGATTTTGATGACCTGAAAATATTAAAAAAATTACCAATAAAATGACCGAAAAAATCCAGAAAAATGACCTAAAGGAGAAAAGAAAGAACACTTCGCTTCCATGTTATTCACCGTTCAGAAAACACGAAGAAAAATTCCCTAAAATGGCCAAAAATGACAAGAAATACCCTTAAAAGTCCAAAAAATTACCTATAAAATTTACATTTCTGTAACCAGCAGCTCATATCCGAGATTTATATATTTAAGAGCATCGCATAGGATACAAGGAAAAAAAAGATGACATGTCATCAAAATCCGAGCCCTGGTGATGAAGCTGAACATTTCCCTCCATCTAGTGCAATGTAAAGACTGCATGGAGTTTTACCTCTAGTTATCATGTGTCTTCATGATGTGGTGCTTAATTGTGCAAAGGAAGAATTTTATCTTTACCAGTTTTACATGAGACAGTTGTCTTTACCATTTTCTCTGAAGTAAAAGTATGTGTTTTACATGAAGTATATAAACTCATGCTTAATGGGTTATCTGTCAGACTGCATGTTTCATGTCCCAAAACTAATCGGTGGAATGTGATGAAATTTGATACTGGAGGTTTCTACATTGTAGGTCGTTTGGTGACATTTATTTTGATCCAAATCTTTTAACTGTAATTCCTACTTTACATGTAGCTCAAATTATTTTTTTTTCTAAAAAGTAACTAATACAAAAAAATGGTAAGGTGAAGATAAAGTTGTCCCTGTGCTTAACTAATTAAGCACTACTACAGAAGATATATATGTGACATTCAAAATATTTTCAGTATGCTGTGTATTTAGTAAGACAAACAGAATATTAATTAGTGGCTTTGTACCCTTTAATATTTTTTTCTCATCTTTAATATTATTAATATTGTGATATGCTGAGCTATGGATGCCGCCCCCCCCCCCCCCCGCCAGCCGTGATGCGCCGAGCGAAGCCGAAGCGAGCCGATGTTAGCCGAGTCCTAGCATCCTGGTCGCTAGGCAACGCGAGTCAACAGCGGTGACGTCACCAAGTAGTAACAGCGGTTACTTCCGCTAGCGTTACTAGCAACACAGCGCCAGGCAACAAGGGTGCCTATTACGTGGCCGTTTTCCGTATTGTCCGATCGAGGCTACATAAGGAGCAGCGAAGGCTATTCACAGTCAGTCCTGGAGCTACCTACGAGTCAGTCCTCGAGCTACCTCCGAGTTAGTTCCGAGTTAGCCAGCAACTAGTCAGTTGTCTTGTGGCATTTGGAGTGTACTATTTGTGATACTGCAGATAGCAGTAATCGTAAATCTGTAATTTGGGTGATTGTAAGTGCGAATGTGAAATAAAATTCGCTATACCAAATACAGCGTGAAGTTATTTGTCGCGATATACAGCCAATACGCGACAATATATTTAAATCTGCACCAAATGAATCCAAAACCAGTCAGTATGCCAGATTTCAAAGAATGAATTTTGTAAGCATTACAAATGTTTGAAGCGTCTATATATACATATATATGCATATTAATGCAGTGTAGCAGAAGATAACCAATCTTAATGTTGAGATTCGAACCTGGGACCTCCTCATAATTAACCATATTGCATAGGTAATCACACTGCCTTGCTTTGTTCTGGAATATGTTAAGAATCTGGCTACTTTTAAAGGGACATGTCTAATTAAATTAGTTTCATTCCACCAAATTATGGGGTATTTTGTTTTAAATGTTCCAAGTTTCAAATCCTTTTGTTTTTTTAATTTTAAAAATGTGTTTTATACATCCTGGTATTCAAAAGCTTATGTAAAGCAGGCACAGAAAACTTTAAGACTCAAATACCATAAGAAACTGAACTGAAGTTCTTGGTTTGAAATAAGGGTAAACAGTAGAACAAGGTAATTTAAATTGATCTCATTATAGAATTGTATCAGTACAGTTCCTTCCTCCAAAAATATTAGTTATTATGTTGCTTTCGGTGCCCAGCTCATTAATATGTCTATCTTTGAATTCAGTTTGTTTATGTTAATCTACACTTCGGTATTCATAGAGTTTTTCATCAAGGCAAGGAAACTCAAGGAACATGTTGTGGCAGATAGTGTCCTTAATTATGTGTGCATGTTTGTTAGGTAATGATGAGGGGCTTTGTAACTTGTGCTCTTCGCCAAGTATAATTGCAATGATCAAGTAAAGGAAGATGAGGTGGCCAGGACATGTAGCATGCATGGGGACTATTATCAAAGGGACTGTTTCCACATCTTAGGTTTTTTGCCTGTACAGATATATGGAAAATAAAGGAAATGAATGAATGAATGAATGAAAGAGGAATGCATACCATATTTTGGTGGAAAACTCAGATGGAAAGAGACATTAGGAAGGTGGGAGAATAATATTAAAATGGACTATAGAGAGATAAGATAAGGTGATGTGGACTGGATTGATCTGGCTTAGAATAAGAACCAGTGGAGGGGCCTTGTGAACATGGTAATAAAATTTTGTGAAATTCTTGAGTAGCTGTGCAACTGGCAGCTTCTCAAGAAGGGCTCAGCTCCATGGATTTAGTTTGCTTGTTAGGTGTCTTATTTGTAATTTGCCATAAGAACCTCAAGGATTTGATACTATGTAGCACATGTTGTCTGGTAAAAGTTTACCAACGTTTCTCTGAAATGTTGATTTAACTTCTACCAGACAACATGTTATCACATTCCAGAAGATCAGAAGATACTAATGGTGATTATCATGATGATAACCTCAAATCCCACTTCATCATAAGAATTGTTTTGATAACATGATAATCTCTTGTGCCCCATGAGTATGCACTGATGCTGGACGTTGATATATGTTTCTATGCGTGTGTGTTTGCCTGTCAGTCTTGCCAATTGAAGACTTATGACACAGACATTCACTTTTATCGGTGAAATGTCTTTTCTCTTAACTTGATACTGTTGTGTCTGCTTAATCATTTGAGCCACCTTTATCAGATAATGACTATAAAATTTGTGAGACCACTTCATTAAAAAGTTAAGAGCTTTCGAACAATGCTGTCTGTCTGTGATAATAAGCCATACTTAGAGTCGTGTTTTTATGTAGGTTAATTATCATCACTTGTATCTGTAATTTTGTAAATAGTGGGGGAAGTTTTATGCTGATCATGTATATTTATTGTTGCCAGACTGTATCAATGCAACAAATTCATTTAGATGTAATGTAGTGTTTATAGGTTACTAAACAAGTAATGCTGTCAGTGCATTACAGATAGCCAAGTCGCTTTTTTGGAGATTCATGAAGTCCCCTATTTTAGTTGATATTCATTATTGTGAAACAATATTTCTGTGTGGAGAACTATATAAAATGTTAATATTATTAAAGTTTGCATGAACTATTTTGTTTGAATTTGTTTGTATTATTTAAATACAAATATATTAAAGTGCGTATGAGCATATGTATACAGTTCTTATTACTGTTGTCGAACTGAGTCCAAAATTACGTTTTGTTTATGAAAATTCAAGAAGATATTGTAGTAAAGGTTATTAAACTAATTTCATACTAAGCAGACAGGTGAACATGTACTCATACATTATTGCTAAACACACTGTAACATTCACAGCCTACAGTAAAGAATCCAAATAAATATTTATAGTTTAAAATATTTGCTATGAAAGGACACTGTTAATATCAGAATATATTTAAAACAAAGCATGCATATGAGAAGGGATAAAGTAATGCATTAGCTCTGAATAGCCATCGCATGGCCATAGTATTAATTATGATATCCTGAAAATTATCAGTGTAACTTCATAAAATATGTTAATGAAAAAATGTGAAAGAGTGCATACAAATGGAAGCAAACCTACACAAGATATGATGTATTTGACATCATTTAAAACATTAATTGTGTGCTGTAAGAGTTTTAATCATATTCTAGAATCTGAAATTTGCTATAAATACTTTGTTATACAAATCTAGCATTATTTCAGTGAAATAAGATTAAGGTACAGTTATCTTTGTTTCAGAACATTCTTATGGAATTCTTACAGTTCTGGAACATTCAAGTCACCTCTGTTTCTATAGATGATATTTTTTTATGTGAACCCAAGGCCAGATCTCAGCAAATTGAAAAATGAAAGAATTTATGGTGATGATCAGAATGGTTGGCAGTGAAAAGTGTGTACAGGAATGTCCATGCATTATGTGGGACTGAAACTTGTTATCATCACCTCACCTAAAACATTCTTGTGTACTGCTGCTGACTGTGAGAATAATTTAGAAAAAATAATAATTAAAAATGCAACATTCTATGTTTAGAGTTACCTCATGGGCTTCTCTGTTAAGAAACTACCTTGTTTTACACAGGTTTATTTTGCCTAAATTAAGAAATTTATTTAATTTATTTCGAATTTGGTGCTGCTGGAAATTTAGTTAGGAATACGAGAATTGGAAACTCATAAGATATTGAAAAAAAGTGTCAGTCTATTGAGATATGACGCATTTGCCCACATTTTGAGGAACGTACTTCCTGCAAGCAAGCTGTAAGCTGTTACTTGTTTCCTGAGCTTACTTTTCAAAACTGAAAATGGAGGCAGTGCTTTCCTCTAAAATGTGAGTACATTTCTACCAGACTGCATGGCATTGCATCACGGAAGGTAGTACTACACATAATCACTGCCATAAGGACCTCAGATCCCATAAGGTGTATGTATATAGCTTGAAGAGAGTGAATATTCATCCTTTCTTTTTCTGAAGTTTTTCTTTGTTCACGTTTTTTGCAGACTCCTATATGGAAGAAATATGTGTTAATTTTTTTAATGTTTTAGTTATATGTGCAAGTCTATCTTTTTCCGTACAATATTCTGATGCCATAGAAAAACTTCAAATTTAACAGTTACTTCTAGAAAGGCCGTGCCATAGCTGAAGCGGTTAGTCGCTGGCTTCCCACCGCGGCGGCCCGGAGTCTGGTCAGGTGGGATTTGTGGTGGACAAAGTGGCACTTGGGCAGGTTTTCTCTGAGTACTTCCATTTCCTCTGCCAATCTTTATTCCACCAATTGCTCCACAATCACCCTCACCTATCATCTGGGGCTGGTACAATAGGCCAGAAGTGGCCGCAGTGAAAGGGACTTAGTCCCACCCCACTAGCAATAAAAAAATATTTCTAGAAACATTTTACAGGTATTTCACCTAATGACAAATTATGAAAAATTAAAGAATGATATATATATATATAGCATACCATAAGTCATATGCCAAAAGAATTTCTGTGCATTCAAATGTTATTGCATAAAAATATTCTGATAAAGAATAGTAACCAAGTCTATAATTATAATTTAAATGTGAATTCTTGCAGTTGAGTGAATTTTATGTTCCTATTTGGAGAAGCTTTTATTGTTTACTTGCGGACTAAAGCCGCAGAGTTTTGTTTTATTCTTGACCTTAAAATGGTTCACAGTCTAAAGTACAGTGGAAGCTCAGTAATCTAAACACACTTTTTTTTTATTGCTAGTGGGGTGGGACTAAATCCTGTGCAGTGCCGCCACTTCTGGCCTATTGTACCCGCCCCAGATGACAGGTGAGGGTGATTGTGGAGCAATTGGTGGAATGAAGATTGGCAAGGGAAACCGAAGTCCTCGGAGAAAACCTGCCCCAGAGCCACTTTGTCCACCACAAATCCCACTTGACCAGACCCGGGATCGAACCCAGGCCACTGTGGTGGGAAGCCAGCAACTAACCACTTGAGCTATGGCGCGGCCATAACACACCTTAATCCGATATGATTTACAATACTCTCCCCCCAACACAAATATAAAAGAGAACGGCTTCTTCAAAAATTACAAATCTAATTTAATTATTTTACTTCCTTGCAGTAAAAATGAGTTCTTGTGAAACATGATATTGTGTATTAATGGACCTGCCTCTCTAGGTGATGAAAGATGAAACCCGGTTACAGCTTGCCTTGACCCTGACATATAGTTCTGCTTGTTTATGATATGAACTGTACCTGTAATACGTTTGGATAAATAATTTTACTTGGAAGTCCAGCAATCCAAACAATTAGACAGTAAGAGCACACCCCCCAGCTTTAATGCATTGTTATTATCAAGGTTTCACTGTGATGCACTGGGATCAACGCAGATTTAACTGAAAGTACAAATTTGTAAGTGAGTAGCTTGTTTATGTGTAATGTTCCTTTACTTACTTGTTCTGGTGAGTAACAGACGAAATGGTGTGAATGTGACATCTGCTCCATTTGTTCTTTTATACATATCTCAGAGATCAGTATCTTATCTATATTGCAGTTTAAACAGTTAGTAATAATGGAAAAGATGAATATTTCTCTCTGTCATACCTTCTGAGTGCAATATGCATACACTGTATCAAGACTGTATGAATTCCTGCTGAAATCACTGGTCCCCATATTTGAACTTCCAGTTCCTGGATTTATGACAAATTTAGTAAAAATGTTTTTTTTTTTGTGGGAGGCTGTTGCATGACCAGTCTGGTTGGATATCATAGTCTGTAATTAGGAAAATCGTAATATATATATACTGATAATAATGACAGGTATGAAATTCCCAACATTTCATGGAACCCAAAAGTTTGTTACTGTGTTCACCAGAGCTCCCTATTGGTCCATATCCTGAGCCAGATGAACCCATTACACACCCTCCTATCTTAGTTCTGTAAAATCCATTTTAATATTATGCTCTGATTTGTGTTTAGGTTTTTTAAGTTGTCTCTTTCCTTCAGGTTTGCCCACCGAGACCTTGTAAGCATTTCTCCTCTGTAGTATTGTCATATGGCTTGGTGCAGGTCTGTGGATAGTGATATTTGTGTTGTTGGGGTAGATCATATTATGGATTGGCCCTGTTAATGTACTAGGTGACATGTCTAGGCTCTAGAGGATTGATCTTTCTTATAGTAAGTGACAGTATGGTGTTGATGGTGCAGGTGCTGCTGTTCTGATATAGATCTCTGAGTCATGAAACAGTAATATACTGGTAAGAACTTGTTTGTCACAATAAATTAGGTTTCAGATGTAACTGCTCCTCTATTGCCTTTGGTGACCATCAGAAGTGATGTTTGATCAAATCGAGTGTTTTGATTTCTGCATAGCAACAGGACGTGATCAGTTGTTAGTATGGCCAATAAATTTCAGTTCTGTGACTTCTAACCGCAGGATGAAAGCTTGGAAATTGTGAAGACTTTGTTACATCAAATCTTATACCTAAAATGGTGGTAGTCATGCAGATAATTTCATGAGCTTGAAGTTACAAAAGAATGGTTTTTACATAAGGAAAATGTTCTGTTTGGAGCACATTGAGTTTACTTCAGTTTAGTTACTTATTTTAATGCCCACAGGTTTTGGTAAGATGTTTTGACCAAATGATGACTTGAGAAAACCTTTCAGTTTGGGATTGATATATTTTTATCACATTACACGCAGCAATATGAATAAAATTACATAAAACACATTTATTGTTATCATTTTGAAACCTCCCCACACATATCAGTTTTGAATTTTGGTTCCTCCACTATAAATTAACCCCTAATGACATCCACTAAATTCTGTTGCCCCTATATCTTCACTGCATTAGCTGTTCTACATCTTGCTTTGTCTGTTAACTTTTTTTTTGTGACCTTGTGAGATATCTGAAATCCCCTTTAATCACTTTATCTCATCATTCACATTTCACAGAGACTGCAATTGTTTTATAAGTCCTTTATCTGCATACTATTTTGTTTTATGGCATCCCCAAATTTGAGTGAAACTGAAGTATTTTATTATTGAATTTAGTTCCACTCTTATACACAATAAGTAAGTAGTTACAACTTACTCCAATATTTTCTTCTTTGTTATAGTTTTTAACTTTAGGGGATTCTTTTTAAGCTCTCATGTAAGTTCTAAAATTCTTCTAATTTTGTATTATTTCTTGTAAACTGTTCATAGCTCTCTGCATCATGTTTTCACTTCAAGCTTCTTTCACAGGTATTAGACACACACAAATATAAGAATAATATTAGCATAAGCTATTAATGACAGTAGCTAGATTATTCAGGTTCTGATCAGTCCACACATGTATGAGTACATACTTTAAACTCTAAGTGATAAACTGCATCCTTTTCATAATTATAAAATTTATATACTTTATTTTTATCTTTTATCAACTGCTTAAATCTGAATACATATTATAGTGAGATGTTTCTTATCATCACATTTTGCATAAGCTTCTATACTGTATCAGATGCTTTTTTGGAGTTGGAAAGCCAGACTCATCTTACTGAATTGTAATTTATTTACCATTGTGGTTAGTAATAAAAATATACCCAGAATATGATTTTCTCTTTCTAAATCCATATTTATCTTACATAAAAATAATTTAAATTATTTTTCTCAGTCATACATATATTGCTTTTGAGTAAATGTTATATATGCAGTAGACAGGTGTTCTCAAACTTTGTGATACCAGGACCCCCTTAAAAGTAAAACAAATTTTTGACTGGCGGTATGGTGACAGCAGGAATTAAATAGCTTCACAGCTTCATTTCACATTCAGTGAGCTATAATATTTTCTGTACAGTCACAAAAAGTTTTCAGTAGTTTACCTTCTACAACTGTGTTTCCCCAAAGTGTGCATGCAGACACACACACCCCCACCAATCCCCCTCACATGCATGCATGTGAGCGCATGTGCATATACACATGCCACTGGCTTTTCAAAATGTGTATGGATAGAACTATATTTTAAGTGTTTCTTGAGGATTTGGTGCCCCCCCCCCACCCTTAAGAGAAGGGGAGAAAACCCATAGTTTCAGAAGCCATATAGTATCCTATTCAGGTAGTTACTGCAATTTCTCTTCATGCATTTCGAGATATATACCATTTATTTATTAATTTCCTTTATTTTCCATATATCCATACAGGTAACAAACCTAGGATGTGGAAATGGTCCCTTTGAAAATAGATATATCAAGATACATATACAAAATTAGACCTTATCGCCTTCCTCAGATATTTTTTCCTGTGTAGTAACCTGTAAGTTGAACATTCACAGAACAGTTGAGTGCCACAAGCTTTCTTGTTTCATGTAGGTCTTGATGAAGTCCTTTGGAGGTTTCACTGACACCAGTACTTATTCATATCCTTCATGTTTATGACAGCTCAACTTTTATAGTGACAGGCTATGAACTGGATAGCCAAGGAATCAGATTTTGATGCTTGGCAGAGACAAGAGGCTTTACTCCACAGGGTCAAGACCGCCTCTGAGGCCCAAGCAGCCACCTATATGATCGACACCGGAGAGAGTGGTTCTTTACCTGAGGATGAAGACACTGGGTTGTCAAACTGACCAGTCTCCTCTGCCTAGTACTGAAATTCAGAATTCATAGAGCTATACCTCCACTCCCCCATATGTCAGTGCCATGACGCTTAGGTAAATAAACACAAGGACAACTTTACCACATATATACATCATTTTTATCGTATTTGACCTTTCTCATTCTTTTCTCCCTGAAGGTGGCAGCAGTATGTTCCTCCAGGAAGTTGCTAAAGATCCACCAGACTGCAGAACCTAAAATCCCAGGCTACAGTAATCTCATAGTCAACACCATGAGGACCTCAAGTCTTCGGTATGTATAAAGTTTGAAAATATTGATTTCTGACATTGTATGTGATTGAAGTAATCGCTGTCGCTCAAGTGGGCGCAGTCTGAAGCATAAGAGAAATCTTGACATACTGTTGCTATGCTTGTTCAGCACTAAAGCCATAGAATGGAATTTTGCAATTAATATCTGTTTAAGTGACTCTGAGATTTCTTCAAACATATAGTAAGTTAAAAATAGGAACAATTCTTTGTCTTTATTCATGAGGTAAGCATGGTGAATAGAACTTTTTCCTTGGGTTTGCTTATCTGTTATTTCTTTACCGAACTGATAAAAAAATGAGCTATATTTATATCAGACACTTTGGATTAGCAATGGGAATCATCATTCTTGGCTTGTGGAACACTAGGAATGGAAAATTAAGCTTTAGGTGTTACATACACAGAGTGCTCAGAAGGGCAAGGCAGAAGGTGAGGTTTTGTCACTGAGAAAGTTTTCTCTAGACGAAGATCTGGCTTGTGTTGAAGAAGTGCCAAATGCAAATCCCAGCTGGGACACTGACTGCATTAAAATAATGTTTCTGTGGATTATCTTTCAATGTAATTTCTAAGACAGTACCTCAGTTAAGCTATGACTGTGTCTTTCCACGTTCTTTCCAGTTTATCAATCACCAATTACCCTGTCATTCAACACGGATGTGTATAGTAATGTTATATATTAGTGTTATGTGCGAACTATTTATTGTCAATTCTGTAAACACAATTCCCATATAAGTTGAATACATTTGTACCATTCAGCCTGGGGCCACATGAGCGCACAAAATGTGTCCATTGTAACGAACGTACTTTATGATGGACGTTGCTGAGGACACCACACAGTTGCAGAATGTGGTGCATAGTTTTTTTGTCTACAGTGGAGCCAGAAGAAAGCGTAGCATTTGCCTCTCTTGTTTATTTCTACAACAGACATCATGACGTTCGTTACAATGGACGCATTTTGTGCGCTCGTGTGGCCCCAGCCTTACACTCTAAAAATTAGCAGAAAATGTTGAGTGTGAATGTAAAATGATTTGCTTGATGATGGCCATATATGACCGAAAAAAGTTGTAAAGTAGAAACAGTACAAATTTATTCAATTTATACAGGAACTGTGTTAGCGGAACCTATCATAAATATTACTGTATATAGTCTGAGATTCAGACAGCATTGTTAAATAAGACACAAATAAATAAGGCTGTTTTTGTCCACATATTTCATCATCAAATCTACTGAAAAAATCCTATGAATTTTTTTATTGTTTGTTTCCTGTTTCATGTATTACAATTAAAACAGTATTAGGACCTTAAATACATGCACTCATCAAACACAACAACGCGTTACAGAGTCAATAATTAAATTGTGTATTTAATGAACACCCAAAGATAACCCTTTAAAGGTCAAAACATGTAGTGTTAGTTTTAAATTAATCGATAAAAACAGTGTTGGATTTGATGGTTGAACGTATTGTCATGTTTAAGGTTGGGCACGTGACACAAATAATGGGTTCTAGGTTGGATGATTGGATTTATTGGCACGTTGGTTACAATCTCTCTTAATTACAAGTAATACAGTGCTGTCACTGATTTACACAATTTACAGTTGACTGTTGCATGCACACTAGGATTCTCCGTCTTCACTGTTCGCCTCCTGGCAGTGGATCTCAACACAGAAAGTAGCACTTCAAATCACTATGAAGCCTTCTTGCCATTTCTTGTTCAGTCATCCTGGATCCTTGGAACTGAACTAAAAATTCTCCTTAGCTGAAAGTGGACTCGTGTTATATAGACACGGCACGGACATCGCAAAAAACACATTTCTGCTGCATACCACAGACCGTGCAGAAAACAAATCATGTGATAGCTGGGTACTGCTGGAGTGTGATGTCATTGCACCTGCGCGGAAGTGTGTTCACTGAGCCGTTGCCTAGAAGCAGGTTGCATAACCCCATTGTTCCATTATTGCGTGTGTATATTACTTAGAAACAACTGTTTCTGTTGCTGAACCGTTCTTGCATGGAGCAAATATGTCACATTATTTAACGTCTTAATACTTCTTTAATTCAAGTCTTATGAAAACATGTTACAGGAATTTGATTTTGGTTTATATTGGTGATGTAAAGAAGTACTTGTACTCTTCTCCAAGTATAATTAGAATGATCAAGTCAAGGAGAATGCGGTGGGCAGGTCATGTAGCACGGATGGGGAGACGAGGAATGCATATAGGATATTGGTGGGAAATCCAGAAGGAAAGAGACCACAGTGAAGACCAAGGCGTAGGCGGCTGGACAATATTAGAATGGATCTTAGAGAGATAGGATGGGATGGTATGGATTGGATAGATCTGGCTAAGGATAGGGACCAGTGGATGACTCGTGAACACAATGATGAACCGTCGGGTTCCATAAGATGCTGGGAAATTCTTGAGTAGCTGCAGAATTGGCAGCTCCTCCAGAAGGGCTCAGCTCCATGAGTAAGTAAGTAATGTAAATAAGTGAAAACTGGGTAGTCTGATTCACAACACATAGCCAGGAATAGACAAATCTGGCAGTATTTTTCTAAGACAGGCTATTGGTCAAAAAGAGCTGTAGACTCTTATATAGATTTAGATGATTGTTTGTCCTGTTTTTGAGATTAGCTTTATCTAATAGGTAAATGAATAGATGCCTCCCTACCTCTTCACCACAGGATAGAAACAGATTCAGTTTCTGAAATGTACTGCTCAGTACACTGGATAATGAACAAAGTCCAGAAATCCATTAATCCAAACATAACGTAGCACTGTCAGAACCTGTTGCAAGTGTGGATGTGTTACAGCATTAATATCTTATCTCAAGGTGAGAAACTTTAATGAGATAAGAACCATAGAATATGTGAATTAGGGCTTACACAAAGAGAAGTAGAGATAGGCAAAGTGTACAAAACTAGATTTGAGGTTCTCACAGCTGTGACTGTGAAGTGGATGGTCTTATGGGTTGTAACACTGTGAAGTTAGGAGAGAGCCCAACGTCTCGAATGATAACATGGCTTCCATCTTCAGGGTCTAAGAGTAAGGCAACCAATAAATCAATAAAAGCAATTCTTCCAGTTACTCTTCAACTTTGGTAGACCTTGGGAAACTGTTAAAGAGAATATAAAAATTTCGTCCAAGAAGAATATAGGCTATTATGAATTTAAGAAGTATAAGCCATGGTTCAACAAAGGATATTCAAAACTAGTAGATTAAAGGAAACAAGCCAAATTGCAGTGGTTACAGGATCCAAGCAAAACAAATGAGGATAATGTTAACAGTAAATTATGTGAAGCCAGCATGCGTTTCAGGAATAAAAGAGGTAATCTCTGAAAGACAAAATAAATGGGCTTGCAACAAACAGTAAGAACAAGAACACTAGAGACTGTATAGAGGAATAAATGAAATTAAGAAGGATTACCAATCTAGAAGTATGAGAATGGTGATCTGCTTGCGGATTCCCTCAACATTTTGAATAGGCATAAGAACTACTTCTCTCAGCTATTGAATGTACATAGGGTCAGTGATGTTAGGCAGATAGAGATACACAACGGAGCCCTTAGTATCTGATCCTAGCCCTTTTGAGTTTGAAATTGCTATTGCAAAGTTGAAAAAAGTACAAATCTCCAGGTAGTGGTCAAATTCTGACAGAACTGTTTCCAGCATTAGATTATAAAGTCATTAATTCTGTTTGGAGTAAAGAGGAATTGTCTGATAAGTGGAAGAAGTCCATTATTGTACAGTTTACAGTAATTATTGAAGAATATCACTCTTATCAACTTTGCACAAAATTTTATCCACTATCCCTCTCTCTCATGGTTAAGTCCACATATATACAAAATTATTGGGATCATCAGTGGGTAACAGTTCAGATACTGATGAGATTTTTTGCATTCATGAGGTACTGGAGAAAAATGAGAGTACAATGAAATTTCAAGGAAGCTTATGGTTCAGTTAGAATATACAATGGGTAGTCATAATGTTTTAATTATCACCATGAGAAAATCATAATTCCAAAATATCTTTTTATATAGGGGATAGCCCATTTCCTGAGCTTGCCAAACAGTCAAATTTTCCTGCGCCAAATGGACAGAGGGAGCCACCAGAAGAGGCAGAAGCAAAATGGTGATGTCAGTTGAGAAAGTGGAGGCTCGCGCTGTGATATGTTTCCTGCATTTGCAAGGGATGTCTGCCAGTGAGCTCCATGACCAGATGACCGCTGTGTATCAGGAAGATGTACCATCATATGACACAGTGGTCAGGTGGAAGAGGCACTTTCATTGTGGACAGACAAACCTTGAAGATAAACCCCGAAGTGGAAGACCATCTCTCGCTGAGGAACCGGGAATTGTGGCACAGGTGGAAGCTTGGATTATATCCAATAGGCGCATAACTATCGAAGCTATTGTTCATGAGGTCCGCATTAGCCATGGGTCGGTTTTCAACATCATCCATGACGAATTACACATGACAGAGGTCGCTGCACATTGGATGCCATGATTGTTGACACCGGTTCAATAACAGTAATTTATGGATGTGGCAAAGAACATTTTGTAGTTGTGTCAAGACAAAAAGGTGGAATTTTTCGACTGCCTGATCAGGATGGATGAATGTTGGCTCCATCATTATGACCCTGAAACAAAGAAAATGTGCAAGCAGTGGAAACATGCATACTTGCCACCATGAAAGAAGGCCAAACCCCAGCTGTCAGGAAAGGTGATGTTGAGTGTGTTCTGGGATTGGCGGGGTGTCGTCATGACTGACTGTGCGCAAAAGGGTGTCACCATCACTGGCAAGTACTACCAAAACCTTCTGAGAAAATTATGGGAGGAAATCAAGAAAAAGCAATGTGGAAATCTTGGAAAATTTGTGCGACTTCTTCACGACAATGCACTGGCTCATGCTGCTCATGCTGTGACGACACTTGCTGCCAGTTTGCGATATGAAATTCTCCACCATCCACCGTATTCACCAGACTTGGCACCAAGCGCTTTCTTCCTCTTTCCACGGCTAAAGACGCCACTTTGTGGTAAGCGATTCCAAGATGATGATGTCATTTCTGCAGTGGATAACTTCCTAAACAGTAAAAATGACATCTTCTATGATCACGGTATCCAAGAGCTAATGCATCATTAGGGAAAATGTGTGGACTTACAGGAGGCGTATGTATAGAGATACAATTTCTTGCACCTGTGTCTCTGTTTCTTCTGGGTGATAATTAAAATTTTATGGTTTCCCCACGTAGGTATTATACAATATCCCGATAGAGTTTGTGGTACTCGTGGAACTAGTTAGGCAGATTAAAATATGTTTAAATGAAACCTGTAGTAAAGTCCATATAGTTATACATTTGTCTGATATGTTTGCTATCCAAAATGGTCTAAAACAAGATGTTTTATTTCCGTTGCTCTTCAAATTTGCTTTAGAATATGCCATTAAGAATGTCCAGGAAATCTACATGAGACTGAAATGGGACACATCAGCTGTTGGTGAATGCTGATGATGTAAATCTATTGGGAGATAATGTAGGTACCATAAAAAAAAAACAAATTCTAATTGACACTACTAAGGAGGTTGGTCTAGAAGTAAATGCTGAGAAAACTAAGTATATATTGATCACTCGTCACCAGAATCCAGGACAAAACCGTAATATGAAGGCAGCTAGCAGATCCTTCGAAAATTTGGCACAGTTCAAACGTTTAGGAATGGTATAACATATCAAAATTTGATTCCACAGGGAATTAAGAGAAGATTGACTTCGGGTAATGCTTGATACCATTCAGTCCTGAACCCTTCTTTTTCTCGTTTAATGTCTAAAAACGTGAAAGTTAAAATGTAAAAAATTATAATTTTTCCTGCAGTTCTGTATGGTTGTGAAACTTGGTCTCTTACTTTAAGAAGGAACATAGACTGGGGGTGTTTGAGAACAGGATGTGAAGGAGAATGTTTGGACCAAAGAAGAAAGAAGTGATGGGAGGTTACAGAGAACTACATAGTGAGGAGGTTCATAATTTGTACTCTTTGCCAAGTATAATTAGATGATCTAGTCAAGGATGATGAGATGGGCATGTAGCATGCATGGGGACGAAAGAGGAATGCATATAGGATTTTGGGTGAAAATCCAGAAAGAAAGAGACTACTATGAGGACCTAGACATAGGTGGGAGGATAATATTAAAATGGAGTGGTAGAATGGGGAGGTATGGGCTAGATTGATGTGGCTCAGGATAGGGACCAGTTTAGGGCTCTTGGAAACACAATAATGAAACTTCGGGTTCCATAAAATATTGGCAAATTCTTCAGTAGCTGAGTGATTGGTGATTTCTCTAGAAGGGCTCAGCTCTAATGAATTAGTTGGTCAGTTAGTAAAGCATTCTGATACACTGACACTGAAGTTAATAATGGGTCAGAATATCTGAGTTTGTAAAGTGATTGGCTATGGGCTAGAAACTTAAGTTTGATTTTGACAGGGTACAGGGATTTTCCTCTTCATCACTATGTCCCAGCGGGTTCTGTGGGCCAAACAGTCTCCTAGCCCCGGAAGGTATAGTAGCCAGAGCTTGAAACTAATCACTTATCTACCTTTGATACTGATATCTGTATAGAGTGGAACTTCAACTCCATGCCCCTTCATGTGTGATGCTTATTTACAGGGGTTTACTTTCACTTTTTGGAGGAGTCAGTGTCATTTTACATCCATGACCTTTCTTTGAAAGCAGCAAACCAGTGTTTTACTCGTGTTTTATTTAATTAAATCCACATATTACTTACATACATACTTCTATATAATTTACATTTATTTGCAACACAGAAATTATACTTAATTATGATGATATCAAACATTGACTTTTCCACTTGCTTCTTATATCTTGAAACATTCAGAACTTCAAATTTGTTCAATCTAAATAAAAGATGCTGCTAAATTCAAAATGTCTGATTCTTTCTGCTGAGCCCTTTATTAACCCATGAAAAAGAGCAGCATGATAACCAAAATTGGCAATTTGAAACATAGGAATGCTGGTATTTCTAAGGTTAAATGCATACACTTCTGCTATACTATGTAGGTAAGTCAATAAGATGACAGGTTGCACGCTTCCGTTGAATGGCCTTACAAAGTTTCCTGAGGATGTTACAGTAGGAGTCGGCATTTATGGTTTGTCCTTGAGGCTGGAATGCGGTGAGCAGGATGCCTTCCTGATCCCAGAAGACTGTGAGCATCACTTTCCTGGAGGATGATGTCGCCTTAAAACTTTTTTTTTGGCAGGCGACGCAGGATGTTACCACTGCATTGATGCACGCTTTGTTTCAGGCTGGTAATGGTGAACCCAAGACTCATCACCTGTGACAGTTCAGGCTAGCATATCATGTCCTTCATCATGGTAGCGATTGAGATGCTGTATTGCCAGACCAGTTCTTTGCATTTTGTGTTGAGGGGTCAGCATGCGCGTCACCCATCGTGCACAGACTTTGTGAAAACCTGTCATGCATTATGAGGTAGGGCATGCCGTGTGAACACGCCTGGTTCCGACAGCAGGCCAAAGAATTTTATGCTGCTGGTTTTCAGGGGCTTGTTAAACGATGGGACAAATGCCTCAATGTACAGGGAGATTATGTTGAGAAATAAAAGCATTTTTCAAATGAGTACGCTTATTTGTTTAAGTTCTATATCCATTTGTAACTTATTTGTTGACCTACCCTCGTATTATGTGTACAGCAACATAGAAAAGAGATCTCTGCTCTGCAGATAAGAGTTCTATTGCATACCTCATATTGTTATAAGAAAGATTGACATAATTTAATTTCAATTTTCCATTGTTGTCTCCATGTAATTGTATTAAAACAAATTCTTTAGCTTTTATTGAGTGCTGATATTCTCAGTAATAGTAGGAACTTTGAAGTTATTTTCATTGTGTGATATATCAGTATTTAGCTACCATATATCCAGTCAAAATGATAATACTGATAAGGGGGTTGCATGATAGAGAGGTTCCAGCATCCGTAGTTGTTATAGGAGTTTCACTGGTAGGTGGGCCAGTGGTGGTAGTTTGGCCAGTGGTGGTAGTTGGGCCAGTGGTGGTAGTCGGGCCACTGGTGGTAGTCTCAGTATATGCTACCATCCATTCTGAAATATCTTGTCTGTACTTATCAAACCATGCAAGATTTGCTGTTACAGTTTCCACAGCAGCTTTAGCTGCTGCAAGAGCAGATCCCAGATCTGTTTCATGTTGAGAAACGAAGTCACTGAGCTGCAAAAAAAGATATCAGACAAATTAAGACATCAAACATGACAGTATTTATGTTTGGCAAAAATTTGTTAGAAAGATCTGAGGAAGGTTATGGAATCTTTTGGCTTTCAGACTGCTATCTAAAACCACAAACACTGAACTGCAAAAAATATGTTTTTACATCTTTTTTTTTTGTATGGATGTGAAACATGTCCTCTATTTTAAAAGAAGAACATAGACTTAGGGGATGTTCGAGGCCAGAAAACAGAAGAATTTTTTGACCTGAGAGGAATAAATCAATATGACTGAAGAAACTTGTTTAATGACAGACTTCAACAATTTTACTTGTTACCAAATATTAGGATCATAAAATGAAGGAGGTTGAGATGGGCAAGGAATGTTGAATTCATTTTGCTGGAGAAACCTGAAGGAAGGAGACCATTTGGAAGACACCGATTTAGATGGGAGCATAATATTAACATGGATCTTAAAGAAATAGAATGGGACAGTGTAGACTGGATTCATGTCGCTCAGGACAAGGATTAGCTCATATGAATACAGTAATGAACTTTGGGGTTCCATAAAAGGCAAGGAACTTCTTGACTATCTGAATGACTATTAGCTTTTCAGAAAGGACCCTGCTCTGTGGAGTTAGTTGTTTTTATTGCTAGTGGGGTGGGACTAAGTCCCTTGTACTGCCGCCACTTCTGGCCTATTGTACCAGCCCCAAATGATAGGTGAGGGTGATTGTGGAGCAATTGGTTGAATGAAGATTGGCAGGGGAAACCAAAGTACTCGGAGAAAACCTGCCCCAGCGCCACTTTGTCCACCACAAACCCCACTTGACCAGACCCGGGATCGAACCCTGGCCGCCGCTATGAGAAGCCAGTGACTAACTGCTTGAGCTATGGCGCAGCCCATAGTTAGTTAGTTAGTTGTGGTACATCACACAGAAAAGCATTTTTTTTTTTGTTTTAGGGTTGAAATTTTAAGATTATATTTCTTTGTTACTTGTAAATATTTTGCTTTCTGTAAGCCACATATGTGCTGTGACAATTGATTACACAGGTCTGCAACCAAAAAACTGCATAGGATATTTTTACTGTTTCTTATAGATTTTTACTCACTAAAACCGGAAATAATAGTAAAAAAAATCTGTCACATCAATTTTTTTTGCAAAACTCATATTTTTAGTTTAATTTTGCGTGAAATTTCTCTTCAACGTGAAGTCTTGTATCCTATTGTTGATTCTAAAAACCATACCCAATAGTTATTTCTTACTTTAAAATAATATTTATAAGAGTGAATCTAAAAAATAATACAAATAGAAAATGGGTGGGATGGGGGGGCAGTGGAAGGGGTTGGTAGGGTGGGTTTGGCGGTGTCAGGAGCTCAGGCGGTCATGTCCCAACACGTTTACTTTGTTTGTAGCGAAAGGTGAGGAATCTTACTGGACATGTTCTTTGGGGCAATAGGAATGAGTATAAACAAGCCTGCTGTCAGATTTGATCATGTCTCAACATGCTAAATAAGTTCAGGATCTTGGTTGATGTATAAGCCACTTAGTTTACATCCTGCATTCAAACGTGACTGTGCTTGTGATTTAGGTCTGTATTATGGCTCAAAGAGGTTGTCTTATTTCTCCGGATAACTTTTGTTTTATTTGTGGTGAATACATACTTAAAAGTCAACAAAGCGACATAAGTGATTTTGTGAAGAAAGTGTATTTTGCTTATTTCAAATTGAAACTTGGGGATCAAGACAAACCTTGGGCTCTTCACAAGGTGTGCAGAAGGTGCGAGGAAGATCTTTGTTTGTGGTTTAAGGGTAAGAAAAACTCATTTAATTTTGGCATTCCTGTGATGTGGCGTGAATAGCAAAACCACATGACTGATTGTTATTTCTGTTCGGTAGATGTGAAAGGCTTTAATACAAAAAATAAAAAGAAAATATCCTACCCAAACCTTAATTCAGCTATTCGTCCAGTGCCTCATAGCTCTGAAATACCAGTTCCCCTCCCACCTTCCAGTTTGGATAATATACAGAGTGATTCGGAGGACAGAACTATATTTCCACCCCAGGATGAATTCCGCTCAGCA